TAAAAAAAAAAAAAAAAAAAAAAAAATCCTTGAAAAAACGTGAAAACACTTTTATGGATAGCCATCACTGGTCTATCCAGCGGATAAACGGGGAAAACTGATCATACGTAGAATAAAGTTCTATAAGCGAAATTATAGGCCTTCCGAGGACGAATATCCTTGGGGAATTAGGAATCCCCAGCCAAATCGTCCTTGGGGTTGAGAAGACCTCGCGGGGTCCCTTGTACTCGGGGATCCGCAATTGACGGAGTGGTCGACATCTACTGTTGACAGAGAAAAAAAAAAGGAGAATGTTGGTGCAGATGTTGTCCGCGGTCCGAACACAACGGACATGCTGGGCCTCCAATGGACGATTGCCCCCCCAACGGCCTCCTCCTGCTACCAGCACCACTAATACTGGCAGGGGTTTTTGTTCAAAAAAAAGAAGAAAAAAAAAGAAAAAAACAACGGCCTCCACTTGTTACCATTGATGCAGGAATGTGTGGGGGTGGATGTGGTCCTTCCGTGTCCGACGGGTTTCTGCATCTTTGGCGGGGGTCTCCAACGGCCAAAACAATTGTTTTTTGTTGGGGGATCACCACTGGAGTTGACGGCCGAATGCTGTGCTCATCAGCGTTGCTTCTCTCCTACTATTGACGTGGCCGCCTCTGCGTTCGGGCTGTGGACAGCAGGCCTGCTTCTATTCTGTCCACTCACGTGCAATTCATCTCAGACGTCCTCCGAAGGTTCCCGCTCCTGCTGCTTGCCACTGTGCTTCTCCTCGTTCTCGTTGTCGTCCTCTTACACGTGTGTTTCGTGGCGCAGGCATGTGCCTGCAAACGGAAACGGCAGGGGGCGGGGAAAACAACCATGGACACCCGTGTAGTGAGCAGCGGACAGGTGGCGCGTGTCGTGGGGTCTAGACCGACGGCGGCCGGTCGGGGCTGCTCTCACACCACCGTACTACCCCACGTTATACAACCACCTGCCTCCATTCTAGCCGCCGTTGCCGCCAACTCCCGGAGAGAAGTGGGTCGAGGAAGTGATGCCTATGATGCCTTTGGGGAGTGAATCGACGCAAGACTGGATAGACAATCAGTTTACACGACATCATCCACCGGCAAATCGTGGGACGTTCTCCTCTCTGTTGGAGGAAGGTATTGGCGAGGGTGATGTAACCATGATCGATTTGAATTCCGGGTTGTCTAGAGGGAGTCACTGTGGTTCTGCGCCAACACACACACACATCATCAACCTGGTGGACGACGGTAGCGTGGGCGAGACTTTTGTGCATGGGTTGTTGGGCCGGGGGCTCCTCGAAAGCCCGTCTCCCCCAGAAAGGCAGCATCAGTGGATTTGTTCCTACAGGGTCGGCAGTTGGCGAAAGACGATAACGGCGGTTATGGCCGTTTCCATATTCGGAGCATCGCCGTACTGGTACACAGGGGATGCAGCGAAGACGGCATATGGGGCAACGAACTACGGTGGCATAGGAAGTGTACCGGCGAGAACTACGTCAGGTAGGCGTTGAAAGCATAACTCAAGGGGTGTTGAGGATGCGTGTGGAGAGCGACGTGGACGCAGAGGAGTGGCTGACGACTTTCTGCAAGTTGACGACAACAACGATGCAGACAAACAGGAAGAGTTGAAGATTCATCCGGTGCACGGGAAGGGCAGGGTTGGCAAAGGGTGGAAGCAGAAGTCTGCTGGACGGCCTGGTCGTCGAGGCATGGCTCCGGGTGCCGACAAGGCGGCAAGCGATGTCGGAGTAATTGTGGATTGTGGAGAAGATGATCTACCTGGCCCGTTACAAGTGAGACCAGGATGCACATTTAGCAGGGATACCCACAAACTACGGGGGGATCATGAGGAATAAGGAGTGGAGGGTGGACAACTTGGAGAAGTGTTTGGTGCAGATGGGCATGTGTTGGATGCTGATGCCAATGGCAATAAACGGGACAACCTTCCAGCAATACAAGAAGGTTTTCTGATTCCGGAAGGCTTATGGGGAGCACAATTTCATCATCGGACATCAAAAGAAAGGTTGGAAGCGTGCTTCAATTTCAGAAGAATGGATGGCCCGGTGTACAAGGAGATCGACGACATGTCGAAGAGCAACAAGACAATGTACCACGACAATGTCGCCGATACTAGCGCATTGGGAAGGGTTCACTTGCCGAGTAGGGTCTCTGCTGCAGGAGGATCCGACACCGGTGAGGAGGGTGGGGGCGCCAACAACAATGGTTGCGGTTCCATGAGGGACTCCGGTTTTGAACGCAGAGAGCACGGAGGGGAGCGGGAACTTGAAATGGAAGAACATGCAGCAGCAGACGTCCAAGGCCGTCGCCGATGTTGTGGAGAAACACGACATCATACTCATGGCCGAGACCGTAGAGGGTGCCAGCAAGTGCCACTGCTCCATCTTAGAGAGGCAGTGCGACATTCTCGAAAGGGAGATTACTGTCGAGCGGCGGCACTACGAGACATCGGAGGTGGCGAACAGGCTCATGTGCTCAGCTCTGCTGGAGATCACGAGAGCTATTTCAAAACAGGCTGGTGCTTGCAACGTGCATCTGGATCATGCAGATGACAGGCGATGATCCAAGATCCCACTACGAGGCGTCATACTTCGCTACACTCATCGCGGAGATGATGCTGGTGTCAGCGTTGCATCGCATATTCAGTGTCAACTGCCACGTCACAATGGCTGCGAATGCCATCACGGAACAGCTAGGGAAAGCCAACATGATGTTGGAGTACCCACACTACCTCCTGAAGTGGGCATCATTCTGTGTGAAGTTATGCCATCATGCAAGGCTCACGGAGCCTGATGATGCTAAGAGCCGGGATTGGTTGGGGATGGGGGCCGCCAGAGAGGGACGACGACGACGCGCGACGCGGAGGAGAAGGCTTTGTACTAGACAACTGTCACATCACACAGGGTTGGGGGTTCTTGGTGCGGGCGCTGACATGGACCGACGGTCATACATGCAGTCAAACGCTAGATTAAATGACATGTCATTATGGCAGTGTTAGGCTGTATGTAAATACACCGTGTTTGGAGGGTGCCTCCTGTCGTTCCTCATACTTCTTCGATGCAGTGTGTGTGTGTGTGTGTGTGTGTGTGTGTGTGTGTGTGTGTGTGTGTGTGTGTGTGTGTGTGTGTGTGTGTGTCAATGTGTCAATGTGTCAGTCTCTGCGTCTTCATTGTAGCGCCACACACATGCAAAGAGGTCAAGCGTTCCGTAACTGAAGTTTATATGGCGCTGACCGTATGTACACACGCATGTATATGTAATGTACATTGGACGATAGCATTTTCTTTACTCTATGACTTCGGTGAAGATAATCTCGTGTGATGGGTGAGCCTTTTTTCTTTTAACTTTTTTTAATTCGGTCTTCCTCAACCTGGTCCTGGTTAGGCATCAGATTCAAGACATGATTGTCAGCTGAGATAACACTGGTTCTGACAAGAATTCAACCAACCAAAAGAGATCTTAGCTTTGTTCCGTCTCCAACTGGCTACCATCTTCACCCAAATAGAACACAGGGTCATTATATCTGTATTTTTTGGCACAACTTTCACCCTAGATACAGCTCTAATGACCAGATGCTGTGTATTCAGGTAACGACGATAGTCACGCCACCCCAGTGGGTCTTGAACCCATGATCCAAATGAATGCCACAACTGGTGGGATGTACGTGGAGGGTTGATTTGGCAGGGAAACATATTTTGACATTAAAAAAAACAACAATATATTTTCATATAAAAAAAAAAAACAGTCTTAGAAGAAAAGAGAGATGCGTGGCAAAAGAAATTACGGCTGCAAAAGAAATCATATTTCTGCTCCGCGCTGCACCCAGTGGGCTCAAAACAAAAAAATTATTGGCTCAGTACTCCAGGCCTGGAAAAATCAATAGGTCAGTAAAAAAAAAAAAAAAAAAAAACGCTTCAGCGCCAGCGGTGAATGTTAACCACCAGTTCCCCGCCTAGGTGCCATCTGACTGGAATGTTTCAGTTAAGACCGCGCTCAGGAAATGCTACCGTCTCCCCCGAATGCAACGCACCTTCATTATGCATTCATGAATGCATATAAGCTTTATAGATTTCCAGTTCCATACAGCCAAAATGGGGGTGTGTTATGTTTAGGGGAAGACGGTAGGCCGCAGATTCAAAGAACACTGGCGACGACCGGTTGTGGGGCATCTGCAACAATTAGGAATTTCAGCGATGGTTAAAAACAAATTGTGCGTTGGAAAACAGAGCCTAGAGCTACTGGTGGTTGAAGGGCTATCGGTAGGTCCACAGTTAAACCACCAGTACTTGGCCCAGCTATCGGCCAATTGAAGAAAAAAAATAGAGTAGAAACGTTTCTAGTCGGATGAATTTGGGCGCTCCTGTAGTGGCCCGTACATTTCCTCAAATCGTGGCTTGTTAACGGGCACAACTTTAGGAAGTACCGGTGGTTTAACACCGAACCGCAGTTAAGACCAGACCGCACACTGGAAAACAGAGGCTAGAGTTACTGGTGGTTAAAACTTAAAAGGGCTATAGGCACAGGCTAGAGTTACTGGTGGTTAAAACTTGAAAGGGCTATAGGCACAGGCT